TAAGCAAATTGAAGAGGATCATATGGGACATCAATGGAAGACTGAATGCGCTTAAGAATAACACGTTCTGTTAGCTTAAGTCCAACAGAGGTTAAAGCAATGGGACGATAGCGTTTGGTTGGAGCGTTTGAATTGGAGGACGTGGGAATGGGAACAATTGTAACTGGTTTCCAACAATCTGGTATGAAATGTGCCACGTATTGACCAAGAATAGATATAGCACAGTTCTGTGGGACGTTCCTTCACCTTTTGTTAGTAGTTAGTACAGTCGATCTGTGTGATCCCCACATTGATTTGAATCGGAAAAGATCAGTGCTCTCGGATTGTGGCCTCTTCATAGGTCAGCTGGTAGAGAGTGCGCGGTCTTCATGCATGAACCACACCGAAACAACTAAACAATTCACAATTTCAACAGAACACTTGAACTTTCAAAATTTTCTCTCAATCATTCACTTGCTAATTATTATATCCATCCATAGATGAAACCGATATGACGCAGATTATCACTGATGAGTTTAGTCACGAAACGGCTTTCTCTGTCTCCTTGGAAAGTAAACGAAAAATTATTTCGCCTTTTTCCACAAAATATTGTAACATTCGATGGTTACAAAATCAATAAAAATAGTAGTTAATTTATTCACCGTTGACTGTTCTAGCTACTCAAGAGTTATATCATTATGAAGTTTTATCCAAAATTCACGAAACTATTCTCTACCATCCGATGCAGCGATAACCTAGATTAAACTATAAACGACCATAGTACAATGCTCTTTCAAGCTAGTTTTTCGTGATTAAAGTAATTTGCCAATGCTCAACCGATTTGACTTTGTATAAAAAGGTTTTCCCCTCCAAGAAGCTTTCCAAACTGTTTCAAAACTGTCCATCAATCGGATAAATAATTTTCAATCAATCACATCCAAATAGCCGGAATCAAACAACACAAAGAAATATAAATAGTTTATGGAAATATGACTGTTAGTATACAATTTAACTACTTATTACTATTTGAGTAGTAATCAAGTATTTACTACTCGATTTTACAATG